ACTATAAAATCATAAAAATATTTTTTTTTTTTTTTTTTTTTTTTTTTTTTTTTTTTTTTTTTTTTTGGCATGCGGCCTTTACCATACAGCCAGTTGCAATTTTTGAAGCTAAGACATATACGCTTAGTTTTGTAAAAAAAAAGAAATTTTTTTTTTTTTCCTTCTATAAGTATGTATATTTTTTTTTTTCTTCTTTTTAATTTTTTTCTTTTTTTTTTTCCCAACAAATATAGTTATTTGCTTCAATCTACATACCAAAATCTCAGAAATTTAAAATATTCTAACCTATTTGAGTACGAGAGCTGTTTCGACTGATACTTTTATAATATGAAATAAGTCATACATAAGTATATACATAGATAAAATATATGTCTCAACTACTTCCATTAGTAAGTATACTATTTCTACAATAATCAGACATAAAGGGACACAGACTGGGACACTCTTTTCACGCCTCTGGGGTCCATCAGGGCGACTTTTTTTGACAACACAAGAATAGACCACGGATTGAAAGGGTATTCACATAAAGGGAGTAGTGGAATCTATTTAACCTAACTAATCCTAATCTATTTATTGTACCATACTACACTTAAATACTTAGACCAATATTACTAAGATAGTTCATAAGAGCCGTTAATACTTTTACATTGTTAAGTGCCAGTAAGTGCGTAATATTAAGGGGACAAGCCACATTACATTCTATCCTAAGTTTATACAGTAGTTCGTCAATTTCATGACTGTATTGTTTACACTCTAAAAAAATGTGATTTAAATCACCAGTTGTGTTACAAAAGCTACATTTATCAGATTCTAAGACATGAATTTTATTTAAATGAGCTGGAAAACAAGCATGTCCAAACTTCATTCTTATTATTGTAGTCAAAAAACGCCTTGAAACATTAAGTGTGTCGTGCCAGTATTTAGAAGGTATAGTTGTGACTAATCTACAATAGCTTGTAGGGGATTCTTTACAAATCTTTTCCCACATCAGATTCCATTTATCACTTATAATTCTTTTTATTTCTACGACAAGATCAGTAGGACATAAGCTATCTTGTACTGGAATGCCATGGGTGACCGCTTTTTTGGAAAGTTGGTCTACAATTTCATTTCCAGGTATGCCTGTATGGGCTTTAACCCATATAAAGTTAATATTCTTTTCTAAAAGGGATAGGCGATAAATCAATTTTTTTATTTCCCATATGACAGGATTTATTTTATAAGACCATGAATATCTATTTTCAATTGCTTGAAGTACAGACATGGAATCGGACAAAATAACAAAATCATTGGATTTACTACTTAACAAAAATTTAAGTGTCTCCCTGATGGCAATAGCCTCTGAGGTAAATATACTGCAGTGTGTGTTAATAGAGAACTGATGTTTTATATCTGAGCTAGGAATATAAAATGCTGCACCATTTCCTTCAGCACATTTTGAGGCGTCCGTGTATATATGTATACATGTAGAGTATTTCATTAGTTCTGATTTAATTAACTTTTTATTAATGGCAGGATTGTCAGTAAATAGGGGATACCTAATTGACTTATTTTGTATGCAACTTTTATAATCATAATCAAAGAAATCTAGAGGCACTATAAATTCCCATATTGGTTGCAATTCTCGAAACGCCTCACAGAGTGGAGGGGATCTTTTTTTTTGCCAGTATTTATTTGTCAAATCATGAATGTTTAGTTTAATTACTTTGTCCACCAAATTTGTGTTTAAAAATTTATGCTTTGAAAGAAACTTTGCACTAATCATGATGCGCCTCAACTCAAGAGGAGGCTCTAGCGCTTCAACTAAAAGAGCTCTAATGGGTGTAGAGCGCATGGCCCCCAGGCTAATGCGTAGAGCTTTATATTGAATGCGATCTACTTTTTGAAGTAAGCTGTTTGCAGCCGATCCATAGAAACAGGACCCATAATCAATAATGGATCTTATATAACTTTTGTAAAAAATTAAAGCCGTTTTAACATCACATCCCCACCAAGTTTTAGTGACACATCTTAGGAAATTTAAACCCCTTTCGCATTTTATAACTATGCTATCAATGTGATCTTTCCAGCTAAGTTTTTTGTCTAAAATTATTCCCAAGTATTTTACTTGATTTGTGCATGGAATTCTAATGTCTTTATTTACATAAACATAATTCACTATAGGGGTATTATGTCGAGTAAAAATGCATGCATTAGATTTTTCTAATGATATGTTGAAACCATTTAGCAGAGCCCACTTAGATATTTGACGGTATAACATTTGTATACTGCTAGTACACTGTTCATATTTTTTACATACTTTATAGGCACAAAAATCATCAGCATATTGGATAATGCTGGATGATTGAAGTATGTTATGTAAATCTGCAGTGTTTATATTGAACAGGAGGGGGCTTAAAACCGACCCCTGAGGTAGCCCTACATCATAGACAAATCTTGGTCCAATTTTTTTATTATCATTATTTCTGATATAAATTTGCCTTACACGATATAGTGACACAATAGATTGTGCTATATTTTCCGGTATTAGAAATTGATTAATAAGTTTGACCTGAAGAATATCTAGGTCTACGGAGTCATAAGCACCCTGAATATCTAAAAATAGGCCAGCAAGATAATCGTTTGACGAAAAACAAGTTTGAATGTCTGTAGTTATGTGTGCAACAGCATCTAAGGAGCCAAAGCCTTTTTTATAACTGTATTGATTAGGTGGTAAGAGGCATTTGTTTTTTAGCCAAAATTCCAATCTATACTTAATAAGCCTTTCAAAGGTTTTAAGCACACAAGATAACAGGGAAATAGGCCTATAGGAGCTGCCTAGATCGGGGTTTTTACCCAGTTTTTGTATGGGGACTACTACAACGTGCTCAAATTCTTCAATTTTTTTGCCACGTAAGTATATATCATTATAAATGTCAAGTAGAGTAACCTTGGCAATGTGGGGTAAGTTGTAGAGCATGATATACTGTATGTCATCAATTCCAGGAGCTGTATTGCGTGTGGTTTTAAGTGAGCACTCAAGCTCATCCAGACTAAAAGGCCGACATAAGAAATGATTTTCAGGATAGTTCAGATTAACATTTTTGGGTTCCTTCCTAACTAAAGGAGGAGTAACTTTATCAAAAAACTCCTCTAACCAAATATTAGAGGAAGGTTTTAACTTAATGTTTTGCCTAGCCATTTTTCTAGCTTGTTGCCATATTTCGGTTGAATTTGTGTTTTTATTTAAATTGGAGCAAAATGAGACCCATGAATTTCTAGCTTTTTGTTTGAGAAATTTTTTAGTTTCAGCTTCGACCTTGGAGCATAATATATAGTTTTCTAGAGATGGTTTTTGTTTATATTGCAGAAGTGCATTTTTCCTTTTTTGAATGACAGGGTCACATTCGGAGGGGTTCCACCACGGAGGGGGTGGTCTAGTATATGGTCTGCATTTATTAACCGCAATGTATAGCTTTGCTGCATCGTTTATCGTACTAATTAAAAATTTATATTTTTCTTCCGTCGTATGTGGTATGAGGCTATTCAAAAAGCGGTTTTCTATAAATATAGTATAGTCAAGCCATTTAGCTTTCTTGGTATTCCATTTGACTTTGGGGTTTATTGTGATAGGTAAGAGATTTTTTGATTCAAGATTAATCAAAATGGGATAATGGTCTGACCCAAGAGAGTCATTTTCAATAATCCAATTAACCCGTGATCCTAAATCAGGTGAGATAAAGCTGATGTCAACAGCAGAATCCAGTTCATTGGGGCGGGTTTTTCTAGTAGACGATCCATTGTTTAAAATTATTAGGTTAGTGTCATCAATTACACGTAGTATTTGTTCTCCCAAAAGGTCATTTTTTTGAGAGCCCCATACCTTACTATGGGCATTAAAATCACCTAATATAAAAAATGGCGAAGGAATTTGATTTACTATATTTATCCAATCACTATAACTAGTCTTAACATTAGGAGGTCTGTAGATTGAAGCAAAAGTAATTTTCTCATTTTTTATAAACACTGAGGCAGCACATACCATTATACCAGCATTATAGTTTTGAATAAAATTAACTGAAGAAAAGGCAAGGCTTTTATCAATAAAAACTGCAACTCCTGCCCTTCCATCAGCTCTATCCTGTCTTAGAATATTGTAGCCAGAAAAATTAATGTTTTTACCTGGTTGAAACCAAGTTTCATTAATAGCGGCAATATGAATGTTATTTTGTTGAAGATATAATTCTAAACTTCTTTTTTTGGAAACTGCAGACTGTGAATTCCATTGCAGAATATTAATTTTATTGGATGTATTTTTATTTGCCATTTTGTCTATTTATTTGTTGGATTACTTTCACTTATGATATCGCTTAATTTACTTTTTATATTTTCAAAATTTATCTTTCTGATATCATCCAAGGAGTTACAATTCTTAACAAGATTAACAAAATACTCAGTTAAAGTATTAATAAGTAGTGTACCTATTTCAGTAAATTCATCAGACGTTTCTTTATTGTTTCCCATAGGAGTGAGGGGGGTTGAGGAGCCAAACACAAATGGAAACATCGGTTGTGCTTGAGGAGATGGGGAAAAATTTTGTTTTCTTTTTTTAAAATTATAATTATTGTTACTAGTGCTAGGTAAAGGTTGAGATATGGCTGTAAATCTCTGTGCAGGGGGTTTTTTATTTGACGCATTGTTACCTAATCGATTTACGGGTAGGGATGGAAATTGATTATCATAACTTATGGGATCATTTAATAGGCTAAACCTATTATTTACTATTATTCCTGAGTAGGAATTTTTGTAAAGAGCTTCGGCTTCTTTAAAAGTTATTTTGTTATCAATCATTATTTTTTTTAGACTTTTTTGTTTTTCAAAAAATGGGCAATTTTTAGAATATGATTTGTGTGTGCCTGTTTTACAGTGTACACAATGTATATCCGCCGCAGTGCAAGAATGTTCAGTATCCTCATTTTTATCTTTTCCACATGAAACACATAGATGTTTATTAGACTTACATTGCTTAGAAATATGACCGTAGCTTAAACATTTGAAGCATTGTGTCACTTTTCCATAATACATTTCTACAGGAAAAAAAACTGTATCTATAGACACTTCTGCCGGTAAAATGTTACCTTCAAATGTAATAAGAACAGTTTGTTTTTTCACGATAAATGACGAATCTTCTTTATAAACTTTTTTAGTGAATCTCTTAATTTCTGTAACTTTACTACTAGAATTTATATTTTGTAAGATGTAGCTTTCTTCAAAAAACGTATCAACCCCTCTGATTAACCCTTTAGTTTCTAATAAATGGTTAGGAATAAAAGCTCTAAGATTTTCTTTTTCCAAAGCTACATTATTGATTAATAGATTAGCATCTTTAAGAGATTTAAGTTGTACCCTAACTCTATTTTTTCCCACGGGCTTAACTTCAATAATATTTTGTATCATTAGTTTTTTATGTAATATGTGTCCTACTCTCAGAGGATGAACACGACCAAAATTTTCTTTTGAAGTATTTTCTATCATAACATAAATGCAACTGAGGTTGTACTTATCCGTAAATGTATTAAAACATTTTTTGGTTTGTGTTTTATCCGTGCTAATATCACCGAAGTCACCATCCATTGTTTCAACAGCTTTTTCACTACTGTTTATTTGTGTCTGTGCACTAGTGCTCTCCCCACCGGGGGGAGAAGCCATTTTAAACGAAAGAAAAACCTCTACTAATTTAATTTAATTTACATCCACTAAATGTTAAATATTTGGCCTATGAAACCGGCAAAAAATCACCTATGCGATACAAGAATTCACGGAATGTAAACAATCACGCGCTTGTGTTTGTCACCAGTACCGAAACACGACTGTGTCATAAAAATATATTATATTAAAACATATATCAGCGAAAAAAACAGTTTTTTTTGTTGCGAACGGCCGCAATAGGAAATTAGGAATGCGGAAAAAATCAAATTATTTCCAGCGGTAAAAAACGCGCTGGTATTGGTAGTGACGTCATCTAGTATGATCTGTCAGTGTCTGTCAGTAACCGTCCATCATTCCGTGAGTTCGTATTGAAACCTGCTCGGAACAGTTTCCGTCTTTTTTCATTATGATGAGAAGAAAAGGGATAAAATAACAAAACAGTAGCTCCGAGCGTTTACTCAAACTCTACATAATAAATACCCGTTAGCTGTGTTTATCCACGTTTTTCTCTAATTTTTTTAAATTTTATCATTTATTAGAATTGGTTTACTTAGCTTAAATTTAAAGATTAGCTCAGCATTATATAAGTAAAACGATATACCTAATAATTATGACCGAAGAAGGAAATTCCAAAGGCCAATTCGACAATCTGTAATTTGTGATATGTGTATGGTAGCAAAAGTAAGTATGTGCGAGTCTTTTCTTCCATTATAACTTCAAAATTTACAACTCGCCGTCACACAAAACAAGAACAAAACAAATAACGGTGGAAAATGTGGAAATCATTGTGGAAATTAACCAATTTAAATACAATGAGGTATGACGTTTGGCGACAAGGTGACGCAAAATCTTACTACGTGACGTCATCCATATTCGCGCGCATTTATGTCGTTTGAAATGCTTTCAATACGCGCGAAACTTTAAACATTTTTCACCAAGTTATTATTGAGTTTTAGGGAAAAATATTTGGAGAATACTCTTTCAACGCAAAAAATTTTAAAAAAAAAATTGTCTCTATTGCTATTTAAAAAATTTCACATTCTATTCCAAACAGCAATTTTCATACTTTCAGATATTTTGACGAAAATATGTCATAAAGAAAACGTAAAATCAATAAGTAGTATTATTTTATCCCAAAATATTGTCAATCCATTTACATTTTGTGACCAGCATTATATTTTTAACGATGTTATTCAAAAAATTTGCCATTTTCACATTCTTATATGGTCAAAGAATGTTAATAAAATATTAAAGGGAAAAGAAGAAAATATTTTATCGAAGGACCCTGTTAAAATAGAAGCGTCCAAAAGATATTTAATACACAAAAAAGTTTCAAAAAAAATTAGGGAGATGAAAAATTTAAATTGGATAAAATACATTATTTATTTCCCTAAATACAGGGTGTCCCACAACGTGTTACCCATGTAATAACATCGAAACTTGTCATCCAATATAATTGAAATTTTGAGGATTTGGGTAACTTTTTGTACCGTATCTATGCGAAGCTCTACATAAAAGGGCGACGCGCATCTGTAGTGACGTCACAAGGGTATCGGCGCTTTACAATAATAGGAAAATCTCTTTGCCTATAATCCTTGGTTTGTGTCAATCGTTATTCGGCTGTCATTGTCACATTCCAAATATATGGCTGTCTTTCTCCGTCTCTCTCTGTTACATCTTTCTTCACTCTCGTGTAACGAAATTTGCCAAAACGTGACGCTTCCTTGAAATTTTACTCTCAATAATTCTCGTTCCAAATATCAGTCCGCCGTCCAAGAAGTTATACTTCAAAAATTACGTTTATCATTACAAAATGTTGCAGCTAATTTTGGAGTTGGGTCTTAAAATCAAAAAAAATGCATATGTTTAGAATGCAGTCGATCAATTGGCTGAAGAAATATATTGACTTCAACACAGAACTGCGAAAATCAAACAACAATGGATTTGAAAAAAACTTTCACAAGCTAATGAATAACGCACCGTACGGCAAGACTATAGAAAATGTAAGAAATTATAAAGACGTTGATAACTAAATAGGGAGGTGACTATGGCAGAAATTATTATATATCGCAGCCCAATTTCAACAGCTGTGAGATTTTTGGTGAAGACGTGATATTAATTAACATGGATAAATTAAATTTAAAATTAATAACGCCCATTTGCAGTGACTTTTTAATAACTGTTATTTAACAAATGGACCTTTAACTTAAGTTTCAAATGATTTGCACGGAATCGTTTTATGGAAACTTTCACTAACGGTTCCTTATTTTTCGTTACAATAAGGCAACGTCGCAATTACCCAACGATTTTTGTGTTTTCTGTTGGAACAATGTTTTTAGCCTAACCTCAAAAATTCAAATAATTGTTTTGTTAAGATTTTGTAATTTTTCAAAAGTATGTAAAAGCTGTGTATGTAGGTAACTACTGTTTCCTTAAATCTTTGGTTTTTGTGTGTGGTGTTTTTCAAAAAGGATCAATTTTGTTCCACCGTTACCGACACTAATCATATTATCACCATCATGTCGGTAGAAGCAAAATGAATAAGGGGGCTGAATTTTATCCCTAGGGAAGTCAATAATCTTTTCACATTAGCACTTCAATATAAAAATATATTGGAAAAAAAACAAACAAATGCTATTAAAAATGGTCAAAAAAATGAAGCCTGGGTTAAAATAGCCAACGAATTTGATGCAACCTTGTCTGATTTAAATAATCGAACAATAGACCAACTAAAAAGATGTTATGAGAACAAGAAGCAAACAATGATGAAGAAGGCACAGGTTCGACAAGAGGTCCTGAAAATTGGTGGAGGCTTGCCACCCCCTGAAACCATGGATTTAGTTCTTGCGACCATGGACCCTATCACAGTGGCGGGAAAATATAATCCGGTAGACTCTGATACGATTTGCCCAATCCTGGGAACCAACTCAGCAGAAATTGAATTTGTGTTTGAAAATTCGGTTCAAAAAGTTTTAAAAAAATCAAACAATTAAATACATTCCATCTTTTTTTATTGTGCTCAATTAAAGTTGTACAGATGGATTTAAAAAAAAAACCGGTTGAAGACTATGACAGTTTTTTAGGAGGAACTATCGAGATACGAAAAGTAAGTACCGACCTACATATTTGAATTTATGAAAATTTAAATTTATCTGCATATTAGCCATTGAGTATACTTGCTTGAATATGCTCGTGAATTTATCAGAGCTTCAGTATTTTCCTTCATTGAATTTTGTATGGTCTCTGTGTTCAGAACTGAATATTCTAGTTCTCAACCTTGTGTAGCCACACATTAAGTATACAAACTATAAAGTAAAATAGAAATAAATTTACAATGTTTATGGTTGTTTCAGATAACTGACTTTGGAAAAGAACATGGGTTATTAAGTCCTGTTCCCGAAAAAAATTGGATGTCTACAACTGAAGGGATCAATACATTAGATAATACAACCCAGCTTTCTTTATCTTTATTAAAATATCCTTCAAAAAGAACAGCACTATCTGCAATTGAAACAAATTCTCAACAAAAACTCGCATCCATCTCGGTAAGTTAAATATTATTTAATTGGTTGTTTATGTTGTTACATTTTTGTCTTTAAAATTGGGCAGAGCATTTTGTGATAAAGAATTATCCATTAAATTTATCAAAGATTTAAGTTTTTTTGTTATAAGATTATTATATATTACAAAGAAGACATATAAATTCAAAACACAGTAAGAGATGTTTAAGAACAGAGAAGGGACATTCTACTCAAAACTGTCAGTAAAATGAATTTATAGAAATGTATAAATTTGCAAAGGCCAATACATAAGCATTACTTATACATTTGCTTACAACACAAGTATAACTTATAAGTTTGCTGTCTTTTGATTTTTTTTTCAAAAAGGAAGAAAATGATTATATGCTTATTTTGAAGAAAAAAAAAATGTTTTTCCACTTTCCAAACCTTATTGCTCATATATATTATGTTTAGAGAGAATAAAAAACAGCTCAGAAGACCCCGGAGAAGACCAATTGGAAAACTTATAATACACATGATTTGGAAACACCTCTAAATCCTGCACTATTGCGACCTGGTACCAGCAGGGATAAAAACGAACTGGAAGGAATGAATATTGATAATGAACAAGTAAATGATCCAGCAATCGGAATTCAGGACAGTAAGAGAAGTAGAGCCAATGGTAGAGGCAGAGGAGGAAGAGGCACACCCAGAAGAGTAAGATTTCTGATAAATATTCTTTCTTCTTACCTTTAAGTCTAAAATTAAGTTAATTTTTTTTAATTTAGGCTACCACTGCTACCAGTTATGCACAATGTGCATAGAGAAAAAGCTGAAACCTTGAACTTGATCCTCATGCTTTAATTTTTTACAAAAATTAAAATCTTGAGAGCTGCTCTTTTTTAGGAGGGGGAGGGCAGTTCTTTACTGCCCGGGCCACCCAATTTTTTTTTTTTTGAAGAAATGTCCTATTTTGATATCATTATAAATTGCTCTCATTATACAGTTTACTTCAATACTTTTTGAGGAATGAGAAGCAAATATCTCAGATAGATAAATAGAGCTTCAGTTTTGTTTTTCTATTAAACTAAAACTATTAGTAACTGTTTTATTTTATAAAATAGGTTTATTTAGGAACGTAATATTACAATTATTATATTAATTGAAAATAATTATCAAACTGACATAACTAGTTTTTCTGGTAAGTGTCTATTAATATAGGTAATTATTATGTTAATATTACCTACATTAACATCTTCCCCTTTAAATTCTAAATTAAATTTGTTTTATATTTTCGTAGAAACCGTGAGTTTCTTCGTAAAACATTTTCATTATCCAATGTTTTAATTAAATAAGATCTAGGCTGTGAACATTTACTAATAATAACTCCTGGATGCCAAAGCTTAGTAGAAAGGTCTTGAATCAATACCTTTTGAATTGAATTGAATTGAATTGAAAATGTCTTTATTTAGGTGTACACAAAGTTTCATTACAAGAGAA